CGTGTGCCTGCGGTCTCTCTCTCTCTCTCTCTCTCTCTCTCTCTCTCTCTCTCTCTCTCTCTCTCTCTCTCTCTCTCTCTCTCTCTCTCTCCTTGGTAATGCTGCATCTGGAAGGCCTCATTTGGGATAGCGCTACATCAAGAAGGCTTCAGGAAAGGCATGGCGGCCTGAACAGAGGAGGACATAGCTGCTTTTGCGATCTGTTGAACATCAGGACAACAAGGCCCTTAGCAGTCCGTCATAGCCTAGGCCTGTTCGAAGTGGAAGAAGCGGGGGAGGCGATGGCTATGGTGGACCTCTCGTTGTGCTGGCAATAAGACGGAACTTCGGATATTGGTTCTGGCTTAACCATTCATTGTTATTATTATTATTATTATTATTATTATTATTATTATTATTTGGCGAAGAATAAGATTGGTGGAGATAAAGAAGGTGGAGAGTGGAGAGAGAAGGGGGGGATTTGTAATTGGCCTTGCTCGTGTACATCGTCTTCTTCTTTCTTTCTTTCCTGTGCTTTCTTCTTCTTCTTTGGTCTCTATCTCTTTTTGAAGTGCTTTCATTTCTTTTTCTTTCACAATTGGGTGGCATTTGTCTTTCCTTGTGAAAATTTGTGCTTCCGAATTAGCCAGGATCGTCGTAACAAATGACAAAAAAAAAAAAAAAATCCTTAAACAAAACAAATGAACACCCAGTCATTGTCCCTGTATTCAGGGCAACTTTCAGTCCAGATGCATTCCAATCACATTTTGTAAAGAATTAGGGCATTTGTCTTTCCTTGTAAAAAATTGCACTTCGGAATTAGNTCAGGGCAACTTTCAGTCCAGATGCATTCCAATCACATTTTGTAAAGAATTAGGGCATTTGTCTTTCCTTGTAAAAAATTGCACTTCGGAATTAGCCAGGATCGTCGTAACAAATCACAAAACCTAAAAAAAAATCCTTAAACAAAACAAATGAACGCCCAGTCATTATCCCTGTACTCAGGGCAACTTTCAGTCCAGATGCATTCCAATCACATTTTGTAGAGAATCTGAGCATACTCACACAAAGTCTTTTTTCCACTCAGCTCCGGACATGATTGCTGTCCGATTCATCCACGTTTGACCGTAATTGCAGTCAGATACATTTAGGAAGGAATGTGTGCGAGGGTACGCCCTTAGTGCGGGAGATGGAAGAGTTCGGCGAGTGTGCAGAGGGGCGCGGGTACCGAAATGTTCACAGCGCGCCACCAAAAGTGGGTGCGCGCCCCTCTTCGCTCCAGCTCGCCGAACTTTTCCATCTGCCGCACTAAGGGCGTACCCTCGCACAAGCACTTTCCTAAATGTATCTCACTGCAATTACGGTCAAACCTGGATGAATCTGACAGCAATCACGTCCCGAGCTGGGTGGAAAGAGTCTTTGTGTGAGAGTATGCCCTGATTCTTTACAAAATGTGATTGGAATACATGGAGGCTATGGATGAATAGTACATACCCGTAACCGTTCCCAGAACCGCCTTCACTTAGGGCGGGCACCTCCGCCTTCACTTAGGGCGGGCACCTCCGCCTTCACTTAGGGCGGGTAAGGCTGCAGACAGGGCCCCATAGGCCTACCGAGGACCCTGATCCTCGCACTGCGATGTTTGGGATACAGTAGGCTAGGGCCAGGCAAAAACCTGCATTCAGGAAAAGAGGCTGGGGTCCACCGGCGCTTTCATATTTTCCTTAAAAAAAAAAAAAAAAAAAAACGTCCACAACGTTTTTGAGAAAACGGAGAATCTGGGAGACGGTGCGACATAACCGAGTTTAATGTACCACCGACCAACATGTCCCGAATGTTACCTGGAGATATTTTGACACGTGGAGGAGAGTGAAGGTGCACAGTAGAAACTCTCTCTCTCTCTCTCTCTCTCTCTCTCTCTCTCTCTCTCTCTCTCTCTCTCTCTCTCTCTCTCTCTCTCTCTCTCT